TTCTGTTCTCCCATGCTGTTCACTCCAAGGAGTGTATCTGCCTAATGTAAATGTTTAGCTCATATGCCTGTCTTTAGTTTGGCTGGATGCCACAGGAGTGGGTTCAATTTCAGACCTGAAGGGCAGCTAGGGGCCATAGTCTCAGTGGTTCCATCAGGCTCTATCAGACCAGCAAACCTGGTCCCTTTTTTTTAATGATTTTGAGATTTGTTCTACATTGTTCTCCCACTCTACCCAGGATCTCCTACATAGATCCCCCTCCAAGTGGTTGACAGTGGTAGCTGGGCACCATCTAGTTCTTCTGGTATCATAGTTATATAGGCGGAGGATCACATGGTGTACCAGTCCCTTGGACTAACTGTTTCCATGCGTCTTTGGTTTTCTTTATTCTTCTTTGCTCTGAACAAGGAGAGACCCATCACTGAATCTAGATGGCTGCTTGCAAGCTTTTAAGATCCCAGTCACTACTTGCCAAAGTAGGATGTGGAACAATGTTTTTGTGTAGTATGTAATGCCATATGAGCTTGATGTCCCCTGTGACCATGGTCCCGAGTCCACAGGTCCAACTACTTGCTCCCTCTGGGTAGCTGGCTGTTGCCAAGAAGTGACTACAATCTTGTCTCTTGTCAGCTCTATTATATACCAGGAAATTCTTATAGAACATACAAATACACTTGTAGAAACATTGTCTGCCAACCCTGTACATGGTCATGGGTACAGTTCCCCCTGCATAGACATACTTAATCATTCAGCCTGTTCACCCATCTATCCACCCATATATCAATGTTTGCCTTCACTGACAACACAATACTGTATGTGATTTTATATACTTTTGCAAATCATTCCATTAGATCCTTATCTTTAAGTATTTAAGAAAACTTACCACAAAGAAGAGAAGTAAATGAGCCTAAGGAGAAAATACAAAATCATGAAAATGTCAATCTAGTAACATAATTCAGTACAGCCCAAGCCCATGGTAATGTTCCAGAAATCAACACTCACATCCCTCTTGAGTCTATTTATAAAGATATAAGGGAACCCTGAGTAGTACCTACTCTTTCTCTATTTCTTATGTAATGACTCACTGAACTATTTTGGGTATCACTTTAATTAGGTGTCTTGGGATAGATCACTAATGAAATAAACCAGTATGTTCTAAGTTATAATCAGAGTTCTAACAGGTGAGCTAACATGTTTTTGGAACCCTCTGTCAACATGGTGAGCACTTACAAATCAAGATGTAACAATGAGGGGATCTTAGTACAACTCCTTTCCAAATGTAAGGTTTTAAGTTTGTTGGTTTGTTTTCTCCTTTTAAGTAAATGCTCCTCTCTATCATCTTTTATTTACTTCCCCCATCCTCAGAAAGTTTTGGGTTTTATTGTAGAACAGACCACTGACTCCAGAATTATTCTGCTGCCCCACTGATCACAGACCCATGTCAATTTAAAACCCATGTGTCCCTAACTTGGAGGGAGACACTTATCACTCTCCATTCTCCAGGAGGGAAGGTAAGAGCCACAGTGAAGACCCTTGCACTCACGTGACTTGCAGACAGCCAGGGGCGGGTTCCACCTGTCATCCTCCTGGCACTGGCTCTGGGGACTGCCTTCCAGAGTATACCCATCTTCACACTCCACAGTCACAACAGCTCCATAGTGGTACATTTTCCTGGGCTCCAGCTCCTTCTGCATTCCACTCATATACTCGGGGAAGCTACAGTTTACCTCTGAAATGAAAGGAATCTAATTGAAGCTGTGTCATATTTTAGCATTTTACCAAGGATGCAGATATTGCCCTTAATGGAAAGTTTATGAAACCAACTGATTTCATCCTAGTGAGCAAGACTTCATTCAAAGAATATAAGCGAATAATCTCGGCACACAGCCTTTAACCTCAACCATCACAATAATGTCTAGATCATTTAAGCAAAATTATTTTTCTTCTTTCATTTTCTATGCTGATAGTGTTGGATAAATTTAATGCCTCTTTAGAGTAATGGTGAGGGCTCAATGCATAATACTAAGTGTTCTGAATTACTGTTTTACCTGCTTCTTTTTTTTCTAATTCTTATACATGTCCATGCTTCCTCATTAATTTTATGTTTTCAGTGCAGGGATCTATAGTGTGAATTCTTGGGTTTACATCCTAACCATGTGACTATGGTTATGTTACAATTCTCTTCATGCCTTTGGGACCTCCCCTGTAAAACAGGGATAATAAAGGTGCCAACCTTGCATGGTGCTTATAAAAAGTAAGTGAGAGAATGCATGTAAAGTGCTGTTTATATTACCTGGCATACAGTAGTAAATGCTCAATAGATATTAACTTCTTACTCATATTTCATATGATTGTTTATGATAATGAAAATGACCTTCTGTAACTTTTATTTTAAAATGTACCTATAATCCCATAGCCACTCAGAGGAAATCCACTTAAAAGATCATTGTGGTTTTATTAGTATTTTGTCAAATGCACACTTAATTGTAACTACAGTACAAGTAAAATTGGCACTTCATTTGTTTCATTCACATATGCACTTCAACGTTGTATATTAAAATGTCTACATATGGTCACTCACCAGATAGAATACAGCCTAAGCCATTCTCTTATTTTGGGGTGTTTAGCAGTTCTCCTCTGAAACTTACGGGGTTACCAATGAGTCATAATCAACTCAACTGCAACTTGTTTGGGTTTCTTCTCTTCCTCTCTCTTTTTTTTTTTTAAGATGGCACCTAACTGAATACATCTATTTGGGATAAATATGATTAAAGATAGGGAAAATATAGACAAAACACCTTTACAATATGGGACAGGTTGGCTCCAGGTTCTCTTGTGCGTGCAAAGAAGGAGTTCCTCTCCCACCAGCAGATAGCCTGGGTCACAGCTGTACAGGATCGACATTCCAGGGGAAAATTTAGCTATATCTCCACCAGTATGCTGCCCATTGGGGATCTGAGATGGAGGTTCACAACCTAAGAAAGCTTAGACAGCAATAAGAAAGGATCTTTAATTCAGCACAGAGCAACATGTAATCAACACTATTTCTGGTTGTTAGGGATACAAAGAGAAAGCAGACAATAAGCCAACTAACTAATTGGTACCTGGAAACACTCATTCATTCCACCCAGACTGACTAGCACTAGGCAGGGGTCTGCATGTCATCTATATCATAGGTGATCAGAAGAGAAGTGTCAAAGATAAGACAATGAAATATCAATGTTTGGAGCCCACTATTTCAATGTATCACCCAGCAGTATTGTCTTCTTTTCTCTTTAAATAGCAGACAGATGGTAATTAAGGTAAGAACACACATTCAAATGCTTATGGGAGCCAGGGAGTGAAGCAGGCAGATAGGGCAAATCCAAGAGCCTCTGCTTTAAAAGTGGCAGCCACTGCTTAGCTCAAGTTTCTGGTTGGTATGTTGCAAAGGAGGCCCTCACTGTGTCATGGGTTCACTATTAATCTTGGGTTGTGGAGACGGGTTTCCCTTCAAATAAAGACTATTAGTGCTGACCAATCATAATAGTTCCATATGCTGAATTCAGTTCTTGGGTCACCAACTGGTGGCCTCTCCTGTAGATAGTCAGTGACAAGAATAAGGCTACCAAATGATAACTAAAAGTTACAAGAAAGACAATTCAGTGGGTTTGAAGGTTTCATTCTCAAGAACACCCAAAGTTCTCTTTCTGTTATCAAATTATCAACCATTATCACCACCCAACATTTGCAAAAAGAGAGGTGAATTTTTCTTATTTTAAATCCAGTGAAAAAATAAGTTTTGAGAACTCCATTTGGAAATTAAGCACTATCCTTTCATTTACCTTAGCTTAATATACTTAGCAATGAAAGAAAGAAAGAAAAAAAAATTGAGAAGAAAAAGCAGTTATTTTATAAACCATTATAAATTATGATTATATTAAATTATATTATTTTATAAAGTACTATAAATTATTATTATTAAAATTATCATGGCTTCACCTTCTTCTACATGCTTTTCTTTGGGCAGAATGGCAAGTGAAGATTCTTCCCCCCCCCCATTATTCTGTGCAACATCTCATACTTTATCTCTTAAGATATCTTACCCTTTTTGATACAAGTTGGTAGACCTGGAACCCACGTGTTATTGGTATGACACCTAATTGAATGACTGCCATACATAATGAACCCTGAATTGCAGGCAACATATACTATGTCATTGTGGAAATATAAAGAACGAGTTTTGTTTAGCTGGTATCCATGTTTGACTTCTGGGCTAGGGCAGTGAGTCACAGGAAGAGACCGGGAACATTTTGGGGGAGGTCCACTCCAAACTCCACGTCCTTCAGCATCACTCAGGCACCGTATAGTTTTCTCTCCCAGAAGATTGAATCCTCGGCCACATTCATAAGAAACTTCATTTCCGTATAGAAAGTGTTTTGCTGTCACACTTGTATGCCTTCCATTTTCAATTACTGGTGGAGGTGGACAGTGAATGACTGTAGAGGAGATTTAGGGAATTCTGCTTCAGCTAGTACATCAAGGTGGAAAGTCTTCATATAGGTACAGATAAAACTATGTTAGTGGATGAATTTCTCATAACTAGAAGATTGTTTGAAATTTAGAACCTGGATTATTCATTTTTCAAAGAGCTTTATTAAATTTTCAGGTATGAGTAATACATACTAATTAAAAATAAATAAATAAATAAACATAGTAAAGAAAGAAATATAGGTATGACTAGAAAACAGGAGACTATATATATATATGTGTGTGTGTGTGTGTGTGTGTGTGTGTGTATATATATATATATATATATATATATATATATATATATATATATATATGTTGTTTTTGTTATGTGCTATCAAGTTGGACCTGACTCATAGTGACCCCTCCTTGGGTTTCTGAGGTGGTATCACTACGGAAGTAGATTGCTCAACCTTCCTGCCAAAGAGTGGCTGGTGGGTTTGAATCTTCTGGTTAGCAGTCAAGTGCCTTAGGCACTACGCTACCAGAGCTCCGTTCTGCTGTGCATGGGGTCGCTATGAGTCGGAAATGACTCGACGGCACTTAACAACAACAATATATGTAGTCTCCTATTTTCGAGTCATACCTATATGTCTTTCTTTACTATGTTTATATATATATATATATTTGTTGTTGTTAAGTGCCGTCGAGTCGGACCCAACTCATAGCGACCCCTCCTTGGGTTTCTGAGTCAGTATCACTACGGAAGTAGATTGCCCCATCTTCCTTCTGAGGAGTGGCTGGTGGGTTTTAACCACCACCCTTCTGGTTAGCAGTCAAGTGTCTTAGGCCCCTTTAGTGGCCAGCCCTCATCTAATCTCCTCCTCCTTCTATCAGTTGTTGTGTTGTTTTATTTTTTTCAAACTTACTTTTACAAAGTGGACTCTTTTGGATCCAAACCCCATTCTCAGCATCTTGACATTTCTGATAAAAATATCCAGTCAGTTTGTACCTAGAGATAGATGATAACACATTTTCTCTTTCCAGTATCACATCTCTGGAATTCAGCCCCATCAAATCACAACAACCGATGCACTTCTAAGTAAGAAATTTGGCAGAGAGGAATTAAAACTCTTGGCCTTCCAAGACGTAGTAAGAAAATTACTATAGTTTTAGTCATTTACCACCAAAAAACCCCACTGCCATCAAGTCATTTCCCCTATAGGACAAAACTGCCCCATAGGGTTTCCAAGCCTGTAAATCTTTATGGAAGCATATCAGTTGTCACATCTTTCTCCCACAGAGCAGCTGGTGGGTTCAAACCCCTGACCTTTCTCTTAGCAGCCAAGAGCTTTAACTACTGTGTCACCAGGGCTCCTTTTCCTGTACCAGTCCCCCCTATTATTACATATACTACTATCATACTAATCATACATTAGCATATTTGTTACAAATAATGAACCAATAACCAAGCCAACCAAACCCACTGGCATTGAGTTGATTTATACTCATAACAATCCTACAGGACAGAGTAGAACTGCCCCATGGGATTTCCAAGCCTGTAATCTTTATGCAAGCAGATTGTCACATCTTTCTCCCACAGAGCAGCTGGTGGGTTTGAATTGCCGACCTTTGGGTTAGCAGCTGAACTCTTAACCACTGCACCACTAGAGTCACAATGAAGCTATTTTCATGTAAAGAAAGCATCAAAGATGCAAGTTCGGCCTGTGGAACCTCACATTCAATAAGATTGCAACAGAGTCTAACAGTCACCAAGATAAATTGAGAGTACAGTTAATGCACAAAACAAGATGGAGATTCTTTCTCAGAAGGGACTGCCTTATACTCACCCAACTTGGCAAGATGTATTGAATGTTACCACGTGCATGTCATTTGGAATCTCTTGTGTATCTTCTGGCATAGGCTTACATGATCCTTCTAGAGGAGCAAAGTTGGAATTACTTATACAGATCTCATTAGCAAAGAGAAAAATAACTCTGGAACTGAACTACCTTCACACTGTGGGGCAGAAGAACTCCAAATTCCTGAAGGCATACAGTGAACGGATTTGTTTCCCACAAGCAAGTAGCCTGGGTCACAGGTATAGTCGACAGTCATCCCAGAGACAAAGAGGACCCTATTCCCACCTGTGTGCCGACCATGGTTGATTCCAGAAGGTGGGTGGCAGTCTGAAGAGAAAACTCCCCACATAAATACCAACAAAAAGAAATTTATACTCAAGAACATTAAGTATACAACCTTCAACAACAGTCTGAAACTTTTGAGCCAAAGACTACAAAGCTCTTATCACTGAATTCTTCCTACTCTAGAAGTCCTTGAGTGATGCAAAGGGTTAATGAGCTGCGCCATTAACCAAAGTGTCGGTGGTTTGAGTCTATTCATAGGTGCCTTGGAAGAAAGGCCTACTGATCTATTTCTGAAAAATCAGCCTTGAAACCCATATGGAGCACAGTTCTACTCTGACAAACATGGGGTCACCATGAGTTGAAGTCTTTTGGACAGTAACTGGCTACTGGTTTTAGGAACCTTTAAAAAGGTTCTCTCACTATGTGCCCTGACTATATCCCAGATCCACAGAAGCATTTACACAAAAACATACATAGCTCATAGCTCACATACAACAGTCTATTAGAGAACGGAAGGAATGGGAGAACAGTGTTGCCTTTTTCTGTGACTCTAGATAACAAACAATACATAAATATCTAAATTACCTCTTTTTTTGTCCATTGGGTTCTTACCTTTTTCACACACTGGTATTTCAGGATCCCAGGTGTCATTGGCTTTGCAACGAATCTGACTGCTGCCCTTCAGAGTAAATCCATCATAACACTTGAATACCACAGTGTCGTTGTAGAAATATGGGGCTTCTTTGCCAGATATCTTTTTCCCATTTGCAACGTGGGGATGTGAGCACTGAATATCAGGGATGGAAAGTTCACAGCGAGGACCAGGGCCACTCCAAATACCTCTCTCTTGGTCATTGCTTATACAACGGATGGTGCTCTCCCCAATGAGGTTGAATTCCACTCCTCTCTCTGGCCCGGGGTTACATGTATAAGTGATTGTGGTTCCATGTGGAACATCCTTTAAGGAGCCCCCTGAGTGTATCCCGTTGTAGATAACAGGAGGCGGTGGGCATGTGATTTCTGGAGAGATGAAAAAGGTACTGTAGAAATTTATCCCAGGATTAGATACCAAAGAACAGAAGTGAAGCTGGTACTGAACCTCTATGTTATTAGATTTCCTAGAAGGAGCTCTGGTGACATAGTGCCTAAGGCACTTGACTGCTAACCAGAAAGCTGGCGGTTCAAACCCACCAGCTACTCTTCAGAAGGAAGATGGGGCAATCTACTTCCATAATGATACTGCCTCAGAAACCCAATGAGGGGTCGCTATGAGTTGGGTGTGACTTGACAGCACCTAACAACAACAGAGGATATAGATGAGTTTTGATGATGTGGGTTATATCAAATGTCATTATGTATGTACAATTCAATTTAGACATATTACACAGGACAGATTTTTATAATGGTAATCTTTATTAAAAATGAACATGTTGGTTGATATCATTGTGGGGCAGTAAAGAGAGTAGTAAATTATTAATTAAACCAAAAAACCAAACTCATGGCCATCGAGTTGATTTCAACCCTCCTTGGGTTTCCGAGCCACTATCATCACTACAGTAGTAGATTGCCCAACCTTTCTTCCAAGGAGTGGCTAGTGGATTTGAACCACCAGCCTTCTGGTTAGCAGTCAAATGCCTTAGGCCCTATGCCACCAGAGCTCCCAAATTATTAATAAAAAGACTTTTAAAAATAAACAACAGAAGGATAAACTATATGGGGGGAATAGGATTAAGCTGTTTGAGTACTATCTTTGTGCTAAGGTCATATAATAGTTTATATGGTTATCCAAGAATATTTATTGTTGATTGAGCACATATTTTGTGGAAGGCAGCTTTCTCATCTAAAAAGTAGGGATAACCCCAAACCCACTCCCATCAAGTTAATTTCTACCCATAGTGACCCTATAGCAACCATATAGAACAGAGTAGAACTGCCCTATAAGGTTTCCAAAGCTGTAAATCTTTATGGAAGCAGACTGCCTCTGACTCATCTTTCTCCCATGGAGTGGCTCGTGGGCTCAAATTGCCAACTTTTAAGTTAGCAGCTGAATGCTTTAACCACTGCACCACCAGAACTCCCTAGGAAACAGGGATACCAAGAACTCACTCCCATTAAGTTGATTCCGACTCATAGCAACCCCCATTGGGTTTTCAAGGCAGTAAATTTTTATGGAAGTAAATTGCCCTGTCTTCCTTTCATGGAGCAGCTGGAGGGTTTGAACCACCAACCTTCTAGTTAACAGTAAAATGCCTTAAGCATTGTGCCACCAGAGCTCCTTAGAAAATAGGGATTAAACAACAACAACAACAAAAACCCAAACTCACTGCTGTCGAGTCAGTCCGACTCATAGCAACCCCTTCCTGGGTTTCTGAGGTGGTGTCTCTATGGAAGTAGATTGCCCATTCTTCCTTCTGAGGAGGGGCTGGTGAATTTGAATTGCCAGCATTCTGGTTAGCTGTCAAATACCTTAGGCACTATTGCCACCAAAGCTTCCAGAAAATAGGAATAGCACTTATTTAATTCTAATAACTTTGCAGTTTATAGTATTATGCTAATTTTACAGACAAGGAACGAGTTTCAGAGAAGTTATGTAAACAGCCTAACGTCATATAGCTATTTAGCAGTACAAATAGAATCTGAGTTCAAATCCAACACCCATGTGCCTATTTTCTCCATGAAACTAGTACCCACAATTTAGAACAGTGGCTCCTTAATCACTGGCCTCCTTATTCTTACAATCCTAAATCACAGAAAAGAATCATCAACTGGATATATTTAATTGATTGATGTGCTTTGACAGAGATGACAACAGAAAGACAAAGCAAAACTCTGCAAATATAACTGTTAACAGAGTTAGTAGAACAGAATTGAATATTTTCATTCCCATAAAATGGACTAAAGCAGAAATCTCCCAGGAAATGCATAGCTTTCTCATTTCTTTTAGTTTTTCTGTTATTCTTGCTACTCACCTTCACAAAGACGAATCTCCACAAACCAAAGGATTGTGCCTCGACACGGCTGATAAACACTGGCACCTAACCGGTACCTGGAGACAAAGAGTCTTGTAATTTTCCCACCTGGGGACCATTAAACTAACCAACAGCTGTTGGCTCAAAAGTAGACTCACCACTTTTAGGACAAGAAGCAATAGGAACAAAAACATAGCCAGCATCAGCACCATCCATCCACTGCACAGGCATAGCTTCCAAGCATGGGAAAGTAGCATGACTGACAGTCCACTAACGTCTTTGAGTATGTTCTGACACAAAGCATGCAGTATGCACTCAGAAGCATACCTAGTGCAGGCTGAGACACTCATCACTCACCCTTCATCACAGGAAGATTCAGCATGTTGTCGAATAAAATGACCCTGGGGCTTTTTAAAGAGTTCATTGCCTAGAGGTTCACACTCCGCCTCTAAGAAGAGAGACTAGGATAAGAAATCAACCCAAGGCAATCGCAATACCAACAAAACCTCTCTACATCCAAAGCCTGGCACCTTTGCACTCTGGGGCTCTGGGTGTCCACACCCCCTCTGAGGTACAGTGAATGGATTCTTCTCCCACCAGCTCGTAGCCAAGGTCACAGCCGTATTTTATGGATGTTCCAGGGTCAAAGCGGACCATGTGTCTATCTTTGATTTGCCCATTGAGGATTTTAGGAGGGGCCTGGCATGCTAAAGAAAAGAAAAGAAAGAAAATTTTAAAAAAGTCTGGTATTAACAACTACAGAAAGAAAACAGGCAAAGAACTTGACATTAATGCTACCAATCCGCTCTGCAACAGTGTGTGGTACAGAAACCCCCCTACAGCTTAGTTTTGGGTAATTTTGTTGTTGTTGTTATTTGCCGTCGAGTCGGCCGCGACTCATAGCAACCCCTCCTTGGGTTTCTGAGGCAGTATCACTACGGAAATAGGATTGCCCAACCTTCCTTCCGAGGAGTGGCTGGTGGGTTTGAACCGCCAGCCTTCTGGTTAGCAGTCAAGTGCCTTAGCCACTATGCTACCAGATGAGTGTTTCTTAATTGTTTTCCCTTTTCTACACTTAGGTTGCTTCAGATTTTGTTCAGTTCCCACTCAGCACTATAACTTCTTTCCTTTCTTAAGAAGTCATCTTGTAAGCTTTTTTATGGGACATCTGAATAATAACTCTGGTGTGGGGCTTTGCCAACTTCCTTAATAGAACTACTATTAAAACAAATGGAATCCCTGTGGGTAGAAACAGTTAAAATGCTCAGTTGCTAATTGAAAGTTAGAGGTTCGAGTCCCCTTAGAGGTGCCTCAGAAGAAAGTCCTGGCCATCTACTTCTGAAAACTCAGCCATTGAAAACCCTGTGGAGCACAGTTCCACTCTGACACACATGGGGTTGGCCTGAGTTAGAATCGACTTGATTCAACTGGTAAATTCAGACAACAAGCATTTTTGCCAGTTCGTTTCCTAAAGAAATGGGCAAGTCATGTTTTTCCCCAAAGATAATCTCACAAAATGAATTAATTGTGGGTTTTGGGAATGTTAAGAAAGCATTCTATGTAATTTGTGTCCACTGTATTTAATATAAACAAAGGAAGGATAGATTGGAAAAGGCCTTGCTTAAATCCATAATGCTTTTCCCTATCTTTTCAAACGGATGAGTATTAGCACCTTTTCTATAACACTCACCCTTTTCACAGACTGGTGGCGATGGATCCCATGTGCCTCGAGCATTACATCGGATTTGGCTTCTGCCCTTCATGGTAAAACCAAACACGCAAGCAAACTGTACAGTGTCATTATAGAGATAGTCCTCTTTCTGCACAGATAAGGTACGTCCATTTCGAACTTGGGGATGTGGGCACCGAACAACAGAAGTAGAAAGTTCACAGAGTGGGGCAGGGCCACTCCAGATTCCAGTCCTCTGACTATCACTTGTACAATAGATTGTGTTCTCCCCAATAAGGATGAAAGCCACTCCTTCCTCTGGATCCGGGTCACAAGTATAAGTAACTGTGCTTCCATATCGAACAAGCACTGAAGAGCTGCCTGTATGTCTTCCATTGCGAATGGTAGGAGGTGGTGAGCAAAGAATTACTAGAAACATTACAGGGAGAAATGATAAAGCCATAGGTGTACAGCAAACAAAGAATGCCTCAGATATTACTTGGTACCACTCTTATATCTGAGTTTCAAGGGGAATGATATTTAATGAGTCAGTCATAGCACATAAAGCACTATGAAAGGTATTATTTTTAAACCTCACTCTTGAGCATATCTGCTCTTCTGATCCTTAGATTTCTTTTTCCCAATATACAGTCTCCTTAATGGGCTTGACCTGGTTGTGAAGTTAGCAAATGTGCAGAGTTTTCATCCAGGAAAAGGCTAGAAACCATGTCTTGGTTGAGTAAATGGCGAATAGAAAGTTAATCAAAAGATTTTTAGTAAAGACACTATCCCATAAGGAGCTCTAAGAGAGATCATTGCTCTACAAAAGCCTGTACAGTGATGACTGAACCAAAAGCTTTTAATTAAGCCGAGAATGTGGTGCTCAGCTGAGCCTCTGATCAAAGAACTAGGTGCAAACCAGTTGCCTTGCCTACCTTCGCATACTGGCTTCTTGGTCCAATCAGCTTGCTGCCCAGCAATTACACACTGGCTGGAAGGCTGGCCTCGTAATCGATACCTGGAGACAGAAGGGTGTCACACAGAGCTTTTAGTTGGTTTGTGCTGTGGTTGGTTTAAGTAGCAGCTTCTACTTAAATCTAAGATCATTCTTTAAATTTGTTCATTAATGTGCATCTATTCCTTGCATGAGCATTCTCTCTCTAACCCTAACCCAGACTGTCCACAGATGCTTACAGAGGAGCCCTCTGTAGACTTCACAGTTCACACGATGTACATACAAGTCAAAAGAATTAAATGTCATAGGCCCAGTTGTCACTCACCCTTCATTACAGGAGAAGTTCACAGTTACGCCAACCCGAAGACTTGGTGGCACCTTTACCTGCCCGTTGGGAAATGGTCCTGGAGGTTTACACTGTGCCTCTAAGAAAACAAGCTAAAGATGAGCAAATTATGGTGAATAACATAATAGCCCACATTCTGAAAATGGATTATAAATTCAGGGCACCTTTACACGTGGGACTGAGAGCGCTCCAGTCTCCTGAAGACAAACAGGTGATGGTCTTCTCTCCATGAAGTAAGTAGCCACGTTCACAACTATAAGTCACAAACAATCCTGGGGCAAAGGGGCCTCCATTCTCTCCTGTGTGATGGCCATTGGGGATCCTGGGAAGTGGTGGACACTCCAAGGGGTAATCTTTACACAGAAAAAAAGCCATCAGGTGATACATCTGTCATAACCTAGGTTCTGACTTAGTACCCAGATCCAAATAGTGAGAACTGATCTATGGTAACCACAGTCATTAACTTTCAATTCAGCCTTTAAACATCAACAACCAGTTGTGATTTAATTGGATCCATTTCATGCCAGGAATCCCACCCACCACCACTGAGTCAATTCTAATTCATAGTAACTGTGGGACAGAGGAGAACTGTCCCATAGGGTTGCCAAGGCTGTAAATCTTTACAAAAGCAGATTGCCACACCTTTCTCCCATAGAGCAGCTGGTAGGTTTAAACCACTAACCTTTTGGATAGCAGCCCAATGCTTTAACCACAGAGCTGCCAAAGCTCCTATACCATGTTGTTGTTGTTAGGTGCCATCAAGTTGTCTCCGACTCATAGCAACCTCATGTACAGCAGAACAATACACTATTTTTCCCTACATTTCATTAATTACATTTGCCTTGTGAAAAAAATTTAGTTACCAAATAAGTCCACTTTCACCCAATCCATTAACCTTCTCTCTCTGCTCCAAAACACCATGTTCTCATTTGAGGGGTTATTCTGCCAGCTATAGTTTAGTGGGATCCTATAATGACACACACACACATTATGTGTGTGTACCTAATACATCTTATTCTATGTCTTGCTTCCTTTTAATATAATCTGTCTATGAGATCTTTCTATGTCAACACATATATATCTACCTAAATCTTTATAAAGGCTTGATTGTTTTCCAGTTTGGACTTTACATTTTGTGACTATATTAAGGAGATCTCTACAACCTTCAAAATTTTATTTTTGTATAACATAAAAATACATAATAAAATTTTTCTAATAATTAAAGTTTTTAAGTACTATAATCCATTTAGAACTTATCAATATTGTTCTATATTAAGAAAATAACTAATGTCAATGATAAAGCTTTTGTTAAAGATGGCTGATCCCTGTCATTGTATAAATGAAATTCAGGTTTAGATTTCAGAAGCAACAAACACCACTCTGACTGAGACAGAAATGCAATTTTAGCAGTCCAGATTTGATTTCCAAGACATTATGAGAGAATAATGGATCAGTTTAGAAACTGGTTACAGAGGTTACAGAGAACAGGCACATCATCTTTCACAGGCTATATTAACAGCTATTGATAGATGAGTTTTAAATCCATTGAGTGTATTTTTGATTAGATCCCACATTTCTTCACATTCTAACAGTAATCCAGATATAGTTTCAAGCCCCCAGCTACCACAACCCCACTTACTCCCACATCCTGTGAGATTCATTTTACCAATCAATTATTATTGTTTCAGCTGCTGTCCAGTTGGTTTCAACTCATGGTGAGTCCATACACAAGGGAACAAAACACTCCCTAGTCCTGCCCCATCCCTATGATCCTTTGGGGATTGGACAGTGTTTCATTGTGATTCATAGGGTATTCATTGGCCGATTTTCAGAAGCAGATCATTGGATCCTATTCCATTTTAGTGAGAAAGTTCACTAAACAGTATAACTACATGACAGTCACCAAAAGAAAAGTGGTAGCTGTGCATGAGGTGCACTGGCTGGGGATCGAACCAAGGTCTCCCTCGTGGAGGGCAAGGATTTTACCTTCGAAACACCAGTGCCTCATATTGAATTACCAGGTGCGTCGACTTACATTCTCCTGTTATACTGTAAACTTCTTTGATCAACTGATGTCTGTTGAATGAATGTTTATATTTTATGACAAAGAAAATACAGGAAACCATAATTTTTACCCTTTCCCTAGCTTCCTCCCCTCATATATCCACATTTTTCCTTGAGAATGATACAATATTTGATCAGTACAGATGCAAGGGCCCAACCTCTCAGCTCAGTTTTGTTCTTGTACTCACCACTCTCACAGGTTGGTAGTGGTGTAGGTCCCCACATTCCATTTGCTTGGCACCAAACCGATTTGTTTCCTTTCATGGTGAAGTTAGTATTACAGGCAAGTGTCACAGAATCACCATGTCTGTATGATGATCTGAATTCCGTAACTCTGTATCCCCCTGGTACTCTAGGCTCAGAGCAACGAGAATCTTTATTATAATATTCACATCTAGGAGCAGCTTTATCCCAGAATGCAGTCACATTGTCTTTACTAATGCAAAGAAGAGTTTTGTGTCCAATGAGGCGGAAGAGCTGGGAACAACTGTATCTTACCACATTGCCAACAGCAACGGAGCCAGAAAAATAAAAATTTCGAGCATTTTCTACAACAGGAGGAAGGCCACAATAAATACCTGAAAGATAGAAAAGAAACTGCGTGGTCATAATGACACCTGAGTGAAAAGGTTTAGTGTAAACCACTAACACCACAAAAAGAGTCAAATTCAGGTAAAAGATCCAAAATACAGTTCATATTACTTCTTCAGAAACAAACTTAAAAATTTGTATAATTTCTTTCCTACCCATCATTCCTTCTTATTCCTAAACCCTTAGGTTCTTACCTCTGTTTATTACTCAAGAAATTAATCAATATAAGAGTATAAGCACCATTTTGATCAAACAATAACAATGAAACAGAATTTATGGAGCAGTTCTAAGGGTAATCAATAATAAGGAAAAGGTAAATTTAGCACATACATGAAAGATGTGTGCTAATGACATGCTAATGACAACAGTGCCACACCAAGGACTAGTGAAACTCCAGTTTAGAAAACCAAATCCCTTGATATTGGATTGATTCTGACTTGTAGTGACCCTGTTAGACAGAGTAGAACCATCCCATAGGGATTCCAAGGCTATAATCTTTACAGAAGCAGACAGTCACATCTTTCTCCCACAGAGTGGCTGGTGGTTTTGAACTGCTGACCTTTGGGTTAGTAGCTAAGCACTAACCTGGTTTTAAATTCCACCTGTCATACAATAGCTATGTGACCTTAGTCAAGTCTTCCCCTCCCTAAGCCTCAGATTCACAGTCTATGGAATAATACTTCAAAAAGTTGTGGCAAGAACCCAAACCAAACCAAACTCACTGCCACTGAGTTGATTCCAATTCATAGTGATCCCCATTGGGTTTCCAAGGCTGTAAATCTTTACAGAAGCAGACTGCCTTATCATTCTCCCACAGAGTCATTGCTGGGTTTGAATTTGTAGTTAGCAGCCGAATGCCTTAACCACTATACCACAGAGCTCCCTGGTGAAAACCCAATGAGTTGAAGATGCAAGATGAAAGGGCAAGTACATTACCTGGAACATAGTCATTATTCAGTGTCTTTTTCATTCATCTATGTGGGGGTATAGGCATTGTGATCAGTCTGTCCTACCAAAGATACTGTAGCCACATTATAAGGCCACTTTTCCTCCCTTGAAACTAGACCACTTTGAAAAACCCACAGGAAGTAGCTTTGAATAATGACCTCATATTCTTTATATGCTTGTCTTGTATGCTGAGAAAATAATCCAAGAAGCTCGACTATATGAAAAAGAACGTGGCATCAGGATTGGAGGAAGACTCATTAACACCCTGCAATATTCAGATGACACAACCTTGCTTGCTGAAAGCAAAGATGACCTGAAGCACTTACTGATGAAGATCAAAGACTACAGCCTTCAGTATGGATTACACCTCAATATAAAGAAAACAAAAATCCTCACAATTGGACCAATAAGCAGCACCACGATAAATTAAGAAAAGATTTTAGTTGTCATGGATTTCATTTTACTTGGATCCACAGTCAACACCTATAGAGGCAGCAATCAAACAATCAGATGTATTACACTAGGCAAATCTGCTGCAAAAAACCTCTTGAAAGTGTTGAAGAACAAAGATGTCACTTTGAAGACTAAGGAGTGCCTAACCCAAGCCATGGTATTTTCAGTTGCCTCATATGCATGTGAAAGGTGGACAATGAATAAGGAAGAATGAAGAAGAGTTGATGCTCTTGAGTTGTGGTGTTGGCAAAGAATACTGAACATACTATGGATTGTCATAAGATGAACAAATTTGTCCTGGAAGAAGTGCAGCTGGAATTCTCCTAGGAGGCGAGAATGGCCAGACTTCATCTCACATATTTGGTCATGTTGTCAGAAAGGACCATTCCCTGGAGAAGGATATCATGCTTGGTAAAGTGGAGGGTCAGTGAAAGAGGGGTAGACCCTTGATGAGATGGATTGACAGAGTAGCTGCAATGATGGGCTCAAGTATAGCAAGGATTGTGAAGAGAGTGCACAACTGGGCAGTGTTTCGTTCTATTATACATAGGGTCGTTATCAAAGCTGACTTGATGGCACCTAATAACAACAGCATGTCTATAGATCGTATATATAAATAATAATCAATGTCATAATTGATAAACTCATGGCAACACACCAAAAAATCATAAGGCAAAAGCCACACTTGATAATTTTTGTTTTCTGCTCATGTTCACAGACAAGAAACTTACTGTACTGTCATGTCATTCCTTCTGGGATACGTTGAATAGAAGATTTGCCATTTACCAGAACCTTAAACAATAAGAGGTAGCAAACTGTCACCAGAATAACCATTTCTCAGCTTCCTGGAATTAGTCACCTCTCTCAAGTATATGGTATTAATGACATCTAATTTTTAAGCATTACTGGCTTAAGGAAAAGATCCAAGGTTGTTTTTAACTCATCTCAACTGGGTGATGATTTCAGACCAGGTAAAAACATAGAGAAAAAAATCCTAACAATCATGTTAATTTTTGAATTCTCCCTCTCCTCTTTGGTATTTTGACTATTTAAAACAATGGAAAAAACAACAAATCCCCCCCTCCCCCCAGTTCCTCGAAAGAACACATCAAGCTACCATCTTCTACTTATTCTCTGTAATAGAAGCCTTCTGATCAAAACTTGTTTTCCTTCAAATGATGGAAGAACAATTTCCAGCTTTGCTGGCAAAGCAAAATATTTAGAGAAAACAAACAGGATTTGGTTAATGATATAATTCTTAATCATAAAAATAAAGGAGAAAAAATTCAGAAATAAAAAAATTTAACTTTCTTAAGAGATCACACATTGCAGGGACCAGCTATGGGTCCTAGGTCTCAATTCAGGCCTCATCACACTCAACCCTCATCACAAACAAAGGGAACCTCTGCCTTAAACTGGCATCTAGGAGGAGGTACCACATGGCCATTCAGAAGCTGGTTTGGAATGGCATCACATAATTTCATTAGGTAAAAAGAGAAAAGGCTGGCATATGAAGAATCAGGAAACAGTTGAGTTTCCTTAAGATGAAGTAGAGCTTTAGGCACCTTCACATATGGGGGCTACATGGCTCCAGATTCCCAAGGATGTGCACTGCATTGGGTTAGTTCCATTGAGTGTGCAGCCAGGCTTAAGCTGTAGGTAGGATGCTTCCTGTCCAATTGGAAAGAACTCCTTATCTCTTTTGTTATAATTACCATGGTGCATATGTGGAGGTGGTAGACATCCTGAGCAAAAAACAGGACCAGAAACCCTTTTACTCCTGAAATAAGAACTTTCTTCTCTAAAAAGTAATAACCATCTGCTTTCCCTATTCTCATCTATTCCAGGAAACATAATACCCACTCATCATTTTCACATTTCATTTAACAAAAAGGCCTCAGATATCCTCTCACAAATATTATAACCAAAGGAATCAAACTTTTATTATGTATTTTGACCACCAAAATCTGTATCTTCCTGCTTTCCAAACAAAGTTGATGAGGATTCTGGGATTTGCGGAAGGGCTCTCAATGCTACTATGTTTTCAGTAAATCAGATATTTCTCAATAAGAATAGCAGGGAAAAGGATAACAGAGAGCAGAGAGCCAATTGAAATACTAGCCTTCTTCCGTAAAGGCTACATTTTTTCAGTATGAGAATATATAATGTCTACAATATTTTGAATCAAATTCTGACCTCAGTCGATTTCCTCTTTTGGTATGACCAAAGGAACTGAGAGCTCATTTTATCCTCAATTAAATGTTGTTGTTGTTGTTGTTACGTGCTGTCAAGTTGGACCCGACTCATAGTGACCCCTCCTTGGGTTTCCGAGGCGGTATCACAATGGAAGTAGATGGCCCAACCTTCTTTCCAAGGAGTGGCTGGTGGGTTTGAACTGCAAGCCTTCTGGTTAGCAGTCAGGTGCCTTAGGCACTATGCTACCAGAGCTCCCACTTAAATACACACACACACACACACACATGTATATAGTATATATGTATATAAATAAATCTCTAATCAATGGCTCTTTTAAAAAAGTGTCCTCTAATTTCCCATTAATACAGATAATGGAATATACATTGGCTCTAACACTCCATCTAGAATATAGTAAGTTTCTCACCTCTTCAAGATTCAGATATTACTTTCAGCGTTTATAATCAAATTATCTAACCAGAAAATTCAACCATGTATACTATCTTCCTCCTCTTGTTCCCATAGATGTCATTATCTATCTTTCCAGAAATCTCATTCCATTTCTAGGTCCCAAAGTTTCAGCCCAACTCACCCCTTTCTGGAGGATTCCATTTACTATTTGGCTGGCACTATACTACGTTGCTGCCTTTCATGGTAAAGTGGGGCTTATACTTCAACATCACAGCATCATTTAAGGAAATAAACATCTAAACCCAGATTCCATAATTCCATTATCAACTTCTGGAACTTGGCATTTAACCAGAGTAATCCATTGAGCAGGAGGGCTGCTCTAGATGCTCTTGATTGTCTGCTTGTACAATATACCAACTTCTTATCCATGAGGTCAAATAGCTTTTTCCTATTCTGTCCAACACAGCAGTGATAAGTCACTACATTCCATAGTAGAATCTTTCTTTATTGTTGCTGTGAAAGTCCCTGTAAGAGATGACTGTGGGTGGCTCACAAGGAATAGCATTTTTAGGAACATGCAGGAAAAAAAAAGAAAAGATAGCATTTACATTTCATATTTTCTGGATACCTAACTTACACTTTCACAAACCAAACTTTAACTCTGTCTACAATTTAACCATACTGTTGAAATTCTATATTTTGATCTCAAATATGGGCCTAAATAGGAAGTAGCAATGTCAGAAGATACATGGAGCTGGCCTGATGAAAACTAAAAAAGCTGGTCACCCATCCCTATCACCAGGGTATAGGCCTACCATTTGCATGGGATAAAGTTGGTAGTATGTAATCTAATGGTATATTTTATATTTAAGCATTTATTTTCTGTGAAATAACTTATCATCAAAGAACATTAATTGAGGGAAAGTGTGGCAGGATTGAGAAACATGGAGAAAGTTAGGAAAATCGTAACTCTGTACTCAGAATTACCCAAACCATGTGTAACCTTCTTGGATACTCATTTTCATATGTCGATGCCTATTTTTGCTCTAGAAGGGAACAACAGGGATTACATAATATGTAATTAAGAGCACTCTGCTGGCATAATGCCTAAGGCATTTGACTGCTAAGCAGAAGGCTGGCGGTTCAAATCCACCAGCCACTCCTTGGAAGGAAGGTTGGGCAATCTACTTCCACCTTGGAAAACCAAGGAAGGGTTGCTACAAGATGAATTGACTCAATGGCAGTGAGTTTTTTTTTTTTTTTTTTTTTTTCTATAATTGAGAGGTGCTTTTACTCACATTCCTGAAGAAGCATGCCCTTATCCCAGTTTACAATATTGTCTGAGATAATATATGTAGCAGATGAATTGCCAATGAGTCGATATCTAAAGGCAAAGAGATGAGTGATCATCTCCCACCTAGACTTATGTATTTGAAAAGTCTATTTCCTTCTCCAAGACAAGAGAGTAGAATGTATGTATGACAGGTAGTTATGATAGATTAAGGTCTCATAATAGTCAACAAACTAAAGCCAAATGATACTCCTCCTAGTCAGAAGCAGTGGAGCTGTAAAATTAGAGGAAAAGTAGTCCAAACTTCTTTCTCTTCTAGGGATCCTCTCTAGTGAGTAATCCTGAAGGGTTGTGTCTGGGGCAGATTAGGGAAAGCATTCTTTTTTTGCTTATCTCTTTTTAAGAATAGGTAGCAATTACTTAGGATTTTTATGGAAGACTGTTGTTTTTTAGTTGAACTACTAAATACTCAGGTACCCTGGAGATATCTCCTGCCAACTCACTCTTCATTATAAGAATATGTACTTGTTGACCCAACCTCCATACTCTTGGTAATAAGCACAGAGCTTTTTACCAGGGATTCATTAGGATTCTAATGATTTACCTACAACTGAAAACAAAGCAAAACATGATTCGGGGCTGAGAATCAGAGGAATTTTTTTCTGTTTTATAGTAAATCCTAATCTGTCTGGACTTAGTGACTAGCCTTCTTATGTTTATTAACAACATAAATTAATGTACAAGATCGCTATCTTCCAAAGATTGGTCAACTTCAGAACACCATTTATTTAAATCATACAGACTATATCTCCGAGGATGGATGCAAATTTTATATGTGGCTCAACCATAATGTATAATCATCATTTCCCCTTTTCATATTTTGTCAGTGGATGGCATCAGCTACCAAGTATCCTGGTCTAAAAAACTTATATTTAATATATCATATTCTGCATTTCATCCTCTGCTCCTTGCTCTATATTCAGTTGAACACCAAATTTCAGCAAGTGGACTCTAGAAGTATTTTCCCAAACCAACAATTTTGCTACTGCTGTAATCTCTCACTGGATCACTGAGTAATATTTACCTCTGGTCTCCCTTTGGCCCAGAATATCTTCTACATTGCTGTACAAATTATCTTCTCTGAAGCCACAAATGTGATCATGCTTCTCCCACACTTCTAAACTTACAGTAGATTTTTTACTTAAAGGAAAAAGGACATGGCCTTTCACAGTTGAGTTCCAACCCACTTAATAAGTTGCTATTCTTCATCTTGCACCCTTCACTCCAAGCACACTGAATTTCTCTATTACCCAAAGACATCATGTTCTCTCATTCCTCTAGCTTTTGCATATGCTGGAATGCTTAGATTTCCATAATTTTCCTAGATAGCATTATTTACTCTTCTGTGATATCATAGCACTTTATAAATAACAAAAATGGTATTGTAGTATAATATTTGTCTATAAATCAATATTTACAACAATATTAGGGTCCCTCATATAGATAATCTGTAGGTATCTATCCATATTTTTTGATGTCTCTCCTTAACCTGATAATCTAGCCTAGAGTTTCATACCTACTAGCTACTCAAAAAATACATTTTAATTGGATGGAGGAAGAATGGAATAAAATTAATATAGTTTGTCTACTAGCTTCCAACCTGCATTACCACAGTACAGAGACCATAAAACAAAGTCATGGAAATTACAGGATAAACAGAGTTGGCCAGCCTGTGATGATTCAACCCCCACACCCAATGTATTTAGAAGGTAGAGGAAATATGGCCAACCCCAGGGCCCATTTCACTTGAGACCACTTACTAACCATTAGAAGATTACTTACTTTTACAGAATTACTGAGGATCTGACACTGCAGGTTTCTAAGCAGGTGACAAAGAATGACCTTTAGATAAACCCAGTGCAGCATTCATAGTCCCAAAATATCCCATCAGGAAACTCAGAGCCATTGGCCTGAATTTTAGGCTTAGCAAAAGGATACCTTGGCAGGTACTTACATGGCAGAGACAAAGACCACACAAACATCAAAACTAAGAAAGGCTCAACTTCCATTTTCCTGTTTCATCATCAATTATCCTGACAATTTGTATCTTTAGAATGTCAGTCTAAAATGGGGCAATATATTCTGGGACAAAGAACACAGGCCATTTCAGTATGGATGAATATAGACACAAGCCATGATATTTCTAATCGCCTCATATGCATGTGAGAGCTGGACAATGAATAAGGAAGACCGAAGAAGAGTTGATGCTTTTGAGTTGTGGTGCTGGCGAAGAATGCTGAAAGTACCATGGACTGCTAAAAGAACTAACAGATCTGTCCTGGAGGAAGTGCAGCCAGAATGCTCCTTCAAAGCAAGAATGGCCAGACTTCGTCTCACCTATTTTGGTCATGTTGTCAGAAGGGACCATTCCCTGGAGAAGGATGTCATGCTTGGTAGGGTGAAGGGTCGACGAAAGAGGGGGAGGCCTTCAACAAGATGGATTGATACAGTGGCTGTGATGATGGGCTCAAGTATAGCAGGGATTGTGGGGCTGGCGTGGGATCGGGCGGTGTTTTGTTCTGCTGTGCATGGGGTCGCTATGAGTTGGAAATGACTCGATGGCACTTAACAACAACAACAAGTACAGAAGTTCAAATCTTTTTTAAAATAAACATCATAGGAAGGGCTAGAGGGAACCACTTTTCATAAAATTGCACAAAGACTGTAGAACTCTATGAATAAAAATTAGCATGGTTTTCTGGGATAGCATAGAACACTAAAGTACACCAGAAACCCTGTAAACTCAGAACACAAATGTATGATCCTCTAAAATTATTTTAATGAATTAACATCACTCTTAGTCATTAAAACTTTAGGGTTTTAGAGAGAAGAAAATATATTTACTTTTTATTTTGTTCTATCAACCTTGTACATAATATGCTCACTGATGGAGCTTAGTAAGTACTTTCTGATGGGTATTGGATAAAAGGAATTAGTCTTTTCAGGACAGTTCCCTGTGACTTACAATAATAGTAACAATATTAATGATAAAATAAATCACATCCTATCATATAATTGAGGATGTACCTGGGAAAGCCGTTTTTTTGGGAGTATGAGAGGGCTCTCAAGTTTCAACTACCTAAGTATATGTGCAGAGAGCAAGTAGTCAATGTTCTTCCAGATTAGACTGTAGCCTTGGCAAAAAAAAAAAAAAAAAAAAAGGTGGCTATGATGCCATCCCAGAACAGAAATGTATTTGAATATCAAATGTATAAATCTTCCTCTTTCTCAAATAAGTGAGAGAAAGATAACAAAGAGTAAATATGGACTAACTGGCAAAGGATCCCTGGGGGTCCAAACAGTTAACTAGCTCAGCTACTAACCAAAAGATTTGAGGTTAGAGTCCACCCAAAGGTACCTTGGAAGAAAGGCCTGGTGATCAACTTCTAAAAAATCAGGTATTGAAGACCCAATGGAGCATAGTTCTACTCTGACAAACACAAAGTCACCATGACTCAGAATGGAATTCATGACAACTGCAGTAGAACTGTCAAAAGAGTGTACACCCATCCACTGCCCCTGAATTGATTCCGACTCATAGCAACCCTTTAGGATAGAGTAGAACTGCCCCACAGGGTTTCCAAAGATGTAAATATTTACAGAAGCAAACAGTCACATCTTTCTCCCACACAGCAGCTGGTGGGTTTCAACCAACAATCTTTTGATTAGCAGCCAAATTCTTTAACCACTATGCCACCAGAGCTTTTTAGAGTATACACGAGCTCTCAAAATTACAGCCAGAATCAGCTCTTCTGTAGTCCCATTCTCTTCTTGGAAAAATCACAAAGACTGTGTCTAAGTGTGGCCATCACAGTTTGGACAGATTTCACTGCTAGTCCCCTTCCATGTCTCTCTCCAGCTCCTTTGGTTTCCTCCATTAACACTGACAAACACCACCAAGTGTGCAAGATAGCAACATTCTATAAGGAAAATCAGAGGTTGATGTCAATGGAAGCTAACTTCATGATCCTATTATTACCTGTACTAATTCATCTTAATCAAGTGATTTAATCCACAATCATACAATGTAACCAAAGACAATCCCAAATTATCCTCCACAAGATAGGCAATCAATTTAAGTTCATAAGATTTTATCAGTGGCAACAACAGAGATTAGGATGGAACCAGGATACAGAAGCAGCAAAAGCAAAAGACGGGTGCTTCATTTCATGACCTTCCAAGGTGAAAGGGGGTAAGAACCACATTTTCTGGAGCAGGTATAACAGGAAATTCTCATTCACAATAAGGAAAGTTGATCCCAATGCTCTCTTTGGGGACACTATGCCTCAGTAGTCATGAAGTTGCCAAAATCCCGTATCACACATAGAATTTTCAGAAATCATGTTCTCTTCATCTCAGAAAAGGGAAAGGTAATTCATGAACCACTAACAAACCATCTCCTTGAGGTTAATTGCACCCTGTCCATAACCAAAAAACCAAACCAAACTCACTGTCCTTGAGTTGGCTCCAACTCATAGTGATCCCTCCTTGGGTTTCCCAGGTGGTATCTCTACAGAAATAGATCACCCCATCTTCCTTTTGAGGAGTAGCTGGTGGGTTTATAAACCACCAGCCTTCTGGTTAGCAGTCAAATGCCTTAGGCACTATGCCACCAGAGCTCCTACCCTGTCCATACCTTTCTCAAATCAGGAATAAAAATCAGAGTAGCTAATGACTGCCCCTAAACTAGAAGATGTCCTGAAGAAAAAGGTGGCAGCCACTCACACATATATCCATCAAACCATTTAAAAAACAAACTAGATGAAATAGTTTCTGCAGAACAAAACCAAAAAGCCACACTCACTGCCATAGAGTTGATTTGACTCATAGTGACCCCTCCTTGGGTTTCCGAGGCAGTATCACTACGGAAGTAGATTGCCCAACTTTCCTTCCCAGGAGTGGCTGATGGATCTGAACCACCAGCCTTCTGGTTAGCAGTCAAATACCTTTTAACTCTATTTGAGTCTAAGTAGATTTACAGGTTAGAAAGCCATCTGAAGTAAATGAGGAAATATAGGACAATCAAAATAAAATCAAAATGAGAGTCAGAGAGCAGGAA